CAAGAATATGGTACTTCTAGCTCCTCTGTACCTAACTCTTTTGCTCTGTTAGTTAATCCAGGTACTTCTGATTCGTGGTTCTTTGATTCTGCCTGCTGTAATGACATGACCTCCAATTCCAATTTATTCAAGTCAAAATCATACACTTCACAAGCACCTATTATTCATACGGCTGATAACTCTCAGATGATAGTTAGTTATACATGGAACATTTTGACATCCAAATTGTCCTTACCTGATACATTTATGGTTCCCAAACTCTCATTAAACTTGATATATGTGGGACAGTCATGCGAACTTGATTTTGACATTCATTGTTTTTCTAATGGTTGTCGTGTGTAGGATCTACGAACAGGACAAACAATTGGGACATGCAGTAAAGTGGGACGCTTGTTTGAGCTTGTAAAGCTTCTAAACTCCTTCACTAGTTGTGTTGCCACCGTATCATCTAAAACTTGGCATTCTCGTTTAGGTCATTCTTCTTTCTCTAGATTAGGTCCTCTGATTCTAAGTGGTCATTTAGGTTCCATTGACAATAAAAATTTTGATTGCTTGCTTTGTAAGTTGGGAAAACATCATGCTGTACCATTCAATATTAGTGAATCTATCTTTCATGCTCCCTTTGATCTAATTCATTATGGTATATGGGGACCATCTCCTACTCCCACCATGGGAGGATCTCGTTCTATTGTGATTTTTGTGGATGATCATTCCCGATATACATGGCTTTACCTTATGAAGAATCGATATGAAATTACTCAAATCTATAGTAATTTTGTTGCCATTGATCAAAACACAATTTTCTCGAGATATCAAGATTTTTCGCACTGATAATGCCATGGAATATAGAGACAGAGAGTTCCTTAGAATTCTTTCTCAGAATGGTACTATCATTCATCGTTTTTGTCCAGGAACTTCCCAACAAAATGGTCGAGCAAAGCATAAACACATGCATATCTTAGATATTTTATGCACTCTTCTAATCTCAGCATCTTGTCCAGAATAGTTTTGGGGAAAGGCCTTTCATACTGCTGTATATAATATGAACCGTATTCCGTAACTTACTATATGTAACATTTCTCCTTATGAGCACTTATATGATAGTGTTCCTAATTATAGTCTACTTCGAGTCCTTGGTAGTGCATGTTTTGTGCATCTTCTCCCTAACGAACGCACGAAGTTAGATCCTCGTGCTCGTCTATGTTGCTTCCGTGGATATGGTATTGAGCATAAAGGATATAGATTTTGGGATCCTGTCTCTAATCAACTTCGCGTATCTCATCATGTTACCTTCTGGGAACATAAAACATTCTCGTCTCTCTGTCCATTTGAATCCTCTCCAATTGTTCACTTCTTTACCGATCCCTCTGTCAATCTATTTCCAAAAGATGACACACTTGAATCTTCCTCTTTGGAATTGTCCCCTCCTAATATTGATACAGGTATCTCTGGTAATCCCACTTCGGCAGCTCCAGATATGTCTACACCATCTACGAATTCTTCACTCATGGATGAACCTTCATCTCCTGTTTGTCATTCTACTCGTGTAAGTCAACCTTATGTTCGGCTTCGTGATTTTCACTGTTATTCTACTATTGCTTCCTTTCACGAGCCTTGCACATATAGAGAAGCTCATACCAATCCTCTTTTAGAGCAAGCAATGGCGAATGAGTTGCAAGCGTTAGCATAATCTCATACTTGGGATTTGGTTGATTTGCTTTCTGAAAAGTCGGCTATAGGTTGTAAATGGGTGTACAAGATCAAAACAAAGGCAAATGGTACAGTGGAATGCTACAAAGCTAGGCTTGTAGCAAAAGGCTTCACTTAGGAGTATGGCATTGATTATGATATGACGTTTGCTCCAGTTGCACATCTTACTTTTGTTCGCAGTCTCCTTGTTGTTGCTGCTATTAAGCGATAGCCTCTGTTTTAGATGGATGTCAAAAATGCATTCCTTAATGGGGATCTCACTAAAGAAGTTTATATGGAGCTTCCTCCTGGATACACTCACGCTCCTAATAAAGCGTGTCCTCTACGTCGAGCATCATATGGACTAAAGCAGGCTCCTCGTGGATGGTATTCTAAGTTTAGTTCTACCATGGAACGTCTTGGATTTTCGTCTAGTCCCTATGACAATGCTCTCTTTGTTCAACGAACACCTCGTGGGTATATTCTTCTACTCTTATATGTGGATGACATAGTTATTACTAGAGACGATCATATTGGTATTACGAAACTACAATAGTATTTGAGTCAACAGTTTGAAATGAAAAATCTCGAAAGACTCAGTTATTTTCTCAGCTTGGAGGTTGCTTTAGATTTCTTTGGCTATTATCTTTCTCAAGCGAAATATGCCATGGATATCCTTTCTCAAGTCGGAGTTACTGATAACAAGGTTACTACAACTCCCATTGAAACTAATGCCGAATTTGATGACAAAGATGGGATTCCTCTTTCGAATGCTACACTTTATCGATAACTGGTTGGCAGTCTTGTTTACCTCACTGTTGCTCGTCCTGACATTGCTTATGCTGTTCACATTGTAAAGCAATTCATGAAGGTGCCGCGAATGACTCACTTTGTTGTTGTTCTTTGAATTCTTCGATACATCAAGGGCACCTTATTTCATGGTCTTCACTTTTCTACTAACTCAACATTCGAGTTGATGGCTTATTCTGATGTTGACTGGGCTGGTAACTCTTTTGATTGTCGCTCTACTACAGACTACTGTTTCTTCCTAGGAAACTCCCTTATTTCTTGGCGAAGCAAGAAACATACTACTATTGCTCAATCTAGTACAAAATCAGAATACCGTACTCTTGCTGATACAACTTCATAATTACTATGGTTGTAGTGGTTATTAGAAGACATGGTAGTCCGTCATGATGGTGGAACGGTCATTTATTGCGATAACCAGAGTGCTAGCCAAATAGCACATAATGATGTTTTTCATGAGCGTACCAAGCATATTAAAATAGATTGTCATTTCATACGCTCTCACGTTGTACATGGTACTATTCGTCTTGTTCCCACTTCAATGATTCATCAGACGGCTGATGTTTTCACTAAGGCACATCCACTTGGACATTTTCAAGATCTTTTCTCTAAACTCTAGTTGACCTCTTCTACGTCACCTTGAGTTTGAGGGGGGATGTTAGGGAAATTGTTATCTTCCAGAGATATTGTTATCATCCTAGATTGATATGTTATCTTCTAGAGATATTATTATCTTCCTAGATTGATTCTAATTTATTGTATTTAATATTATAATTTTTTATTACTTTAGATAGTTATCTAGGATAGCCTATAAATAGGCTTATGTATGATCAGTAATATGTATAGAGAAATATATAGAAATTCTCCAATTCTCTTTTCCACTTATTCTTAACTTATATAAAGGAAGAACTGTCATCCTTATCTGCGATTGTGGATTGAGAATAAGTACCATCAAAATTATTATTTTTTGTTTGGAAATTTAATTTTTTTACTCGCACCATTTGATTTTTATTCAACACACAATGCCCGAAATATTCCAATATGTAAGCAAACTCCATTTCAGGTAAGGCCAGACCGTCTTGAACTAAATGCGATCAAACCTGGATAAACCCAGCCTGGCCCGAATTATAAAATAGAATCAGGCCTGGGGAAGTTTGATCCAGTTTTGTGGATCTTTATTTTTCCTCGAGTTGCAATAACCAAATCCAAAATCCTATATGTACCGTACGATCAACAAAGCTCGTCTAGAAAAGTTCTTTGGGTTAATACCATGAAAAACTCAAAACAGATGCGCTTGTGACAAATTTACCAAAAACTAATTTTTTTACCGGGAAAAACTCTTACCTTAAACTAATTTTTTAACCATGAAAAACACCAAATTGGTACACTAATGACAAATTTATCCCATATTAATTTTTTGACCCCAAAAAACTCCAAACTGGTATATTTGTAACAAATTTACCCCAAACTAATATTTTGACCATAAAAAACCCCAAATTGGTACACATATGATAAATTTACCATCTGTTAGCGGACTAGTTTATGGTTTTTCGTGGTATTTACCTTATGGATTCCGCATGGACTTGCCACGTCACCATACCAGGTCACCATGTGTCATTCACATCAGCAAATTTAATGGTAAAATTTGACAGAAGCTAACGGAGGGTAAATTTGTCACAGGCGTACTAGTTTGGAGTTTTTAGTAGTTAAAAAATTAGTTTAGGGAAAAGTTGTCAAGGGTATACCAATTTGGGGTCCTTTGCTGTTAAAAAATTAGTTTTTGATAAATTTGTCGCGGGTGTACCAATTTGGGGTTTTTCGTGATAAAAAAAATTAGTTTTGGGTAAATTTGTCAAAAGTGTACCAGTTTGGAGTTTTTCGTGGTATTAACTCAATTTCTTTACTTAGTGCGGAAAGCAGAAATTCTCAAGTTACCTTAACAAGTGGCATCACCCGATCGTCAGCAGCTTGTTGCAATTACTCTCCGAGAATGTAATAAAAATCCAACCATGGGAAACGTCACTCCTCTTTAGAGAAGGATTCAAGCTAGCCAAAGAAGACTTAACTTTTTGCGACCAGGAGAAAAACAGAATGCCACTGGTTGACCATACGAAGCTCTATCTGCAGGGGGACACAAAAAACGTCCACACCAACCCCCATTCCCTTTGCGGAGATGGACTTCAATGGCTCCACAATCATTACCTTTCCCTCTTTTTCTTCTTTAAGTGGATGAGTGCCAAAACGAAAGGCCAATGGACTCAGTCGGACCACCAAATTCCAATGCAACCCATTCCCTTAGCGTCAGTTCATTCTTCCACGAAATGACTGCAAAATGAGAAAGTGGAATGGGTCTGACGTAAGTGGCTGATGAGAAAAGAATTTTCAGGAGCCAAAAGCCGTAATCTAGAAGCATGTTGTGTGAATTAACTCATTTAAAATCTTGGACAAAACGTCTTATCCATATTCTTGATTCGATCTTTTTTTCTCTAGCCAACCAAGTCGAGAAAATTTAGCTTTTGACCATTGTTGCCAGAAATTGGGTATATAAACCCCCATTGATGAACCTTGGAACTCACTTCAACTGCTAAAACAATTTAAACTTCATTGTTTTTCAGTTAACTAGAGAGATCTTCTGAGAATATATATTAGTGAAATGGCAGGATTGAGGTACGCAGGAATTGTTTTGCTAGTGATAGCCACAACCATGGCGATCACCGAGGCCAGGACCATTGTTGTTGGTGGATCTGAGAACTGGCGTTTCGGCTACAACTACACGGACTGGACTCTTAAGAACAGTCCCTTCTACATCAACGACAAACTTGGTGAGTGTAACCAAGTAACTTTTAGTTTTAGCCTAGGAAGTTTTACTTCCTCTGATTATGCTGAATTTGCATAATTGAGAAAGTTTCACCTACAATTGGTCATCAATCAGGAAAAGACGGTGACAAGTAGTGACTAATGGTTCCAACATATGCGAATTATCTAGTTCGAAAGCCACATCAATTTTCTTCTTCTAGATGATATAGGATATTTGAATTTTCAATTAGCATAAAATATGATAAATATACATGTAACCACCTCATTCACAAAGTGATTGTGAGGGTGACCCTCAAGGTTACTATGAGTGAGAGATGATATAATGGACATAGGATCTAGGAGGGAAGGTGACATTTGTTTTTTAAAATGCAATTGATTGACTTACGATACACACGTCGAGTGATGCAGCTCGCGGACTAAATCAAGAACCCTTTCAAGTTTCCTTTCTTCAAGAATCGACGCCAATATCATTATGAACCATCAAACTGAATTACCTATGCTTAACTGTTTTTATTTGCTTGGATAGTGTTCAAGTTTGATGCACCCCACAACGTGTACTTGCTGCCCAACCTGTATAGCTACATCAAGTGTGACTTCAGGGGTGCGACGCTTCTTGCGAGTGCGCCAAAAGGGGATGGAAAAGGGTTCGAGGTCGTGCTGAACCAATGGAGGCTCTACTACTTTGCTTCCTCAAACGACAAGGACTGCTCTGATGGCTTGATGAAGTTCTTCGCCATGCCGCTTCCACGTTGGCAGTGATCGGGACTAAGAATCATGCTGGTTCCGTTTGCTAGGGATATTTGATTATGTTTATGCAATTATAGAATTTGAATAAAGAGCGACTGATCCTGGAAAGGTCGTGGTTGAAATAAACATGTGGTGAGGGAATTTTATCGTTTCTTCTATTATTCATGTATTACCCGCAGTTTGCCGATAATGAAATTTTACTGTGACTAAATTGTGTTATCTTTTCATTTATTCTATTTTTAATGAGCACAACGTCCAGTTATAAAATAATAATTGCGATAGCAATTTAAGTCATATCATTGATCGAAATAATTAAATTGAAGTGGATGACTTTTTCGGATTTTTCTTCATAATTTTATAGATTTTTAATGCAGCAAACCTAAATACAACATAACAAAAACAATATTTTACCTTAAGGATCTCATGGTCTGTGCGCAGAGTTGACGTCGCAACACCCTCTCTCCTTCCGATCCGGTGTGATGGAAAATCAGGAACAGTTATGCTGCTCTCTGTGTCTAGACCTGACCGTCAGCTGCTGCTTGTGCCGATTCTTCTCGTGCGACCTCAACCTCGATTACAGATGTGCTTCCTTGCGTCCGATCTTAGTCCTTCCACATCCTGACAACCGCCTTCTTCTTCTCTTCGGGGATAACCCTTCCCGCCATAATCGTAAATGCAATTTCTGTGGCTTTCAATCCGAAAGGATTCCTGTTTTTGTTTGCCTAGTTCCTGGAGGGACAAGTAAAAAAAAAAACCCTAAACCTATTGCATTGGTACAATTCAGTCTAAACTTTTCAATTGGACCAATTTAATTTTAAACTTTTTCACATTGGTACCAATTCAATCCATTCAGCCAATTTAGGTAGGAAATCGTTCACGTGGAAGTCGGCGGTCCTACGTGGCACCGCCAGCACTGACATTGACAAATTTTATAATTTTATAATTATTTTTTCAGATTTTTTTAATGTTTTTTTTCTTTTTTTCTCTTTTTTTTTTTCCTTTCCTAGAAGTGGTTGACCAGTGAAGTTGCCGGTCGACCATCGCCGGCCATAAGCGTGGGCCGGCGACCCTCGCCTAATCTGGGCGAGGGCCCTCGCGCCCTCGCCTGCCACGGGCAAGGGCCGCCGTGCCCTCATTAGCCAAGGGTGAGGGCATTGGCCCTCGCTCAGATCTAGGTGAGTGACTAGCTGAGGGCATTGCGGCCCTTACTCGTAGACGAGGGTTTCGGCCCTCGCCTGGATTTGGGCAAGGGCCGGACGCCTTCGCCTGTGGTCGGCGAGGGTGCGGCGGCCCTTGCCTGGATCTGGGCGAGGGCGTGTGGCTACCGCGCCCTCACCAGTCATCGGCCCTTGCCCAGACTAGCCTGTGGCTGGTGATGGTTGGCCGGCAACCTCGCCGGCCCACTAGTTCTGGGAAAAGAAAAAAAAGAGAAAAACAGAAACAACATTAAAAAAATCTAAAAAATTATTAAAATATTATAAATTTTATCCACATCAGCGCTGGCAGTGCTACGTAGGACTACTGGCGTCCACGTCAGTGAGTTTCGGCCCAAATTGGCCAGATGGATTGAATTGGTACAAATATGAAATGGTTTAGGACAAATTGGTCCAATTAAAAGGTTTATGACTGAATTGGTACCAATGCAATAGGTTTAGGACTTTTTTGGTACTTTTCCTAATTCTCGGATGCGGTCCATATTCACTGTGGCGCTCCCACGTATACCATACCTAAAACTGTTTGGTCTGATAACATTCACCATCATCAACTTCCCTTTACCAAGAAGTGTCCGGCTTGACTGAAGACTTTGGGTGCGTTTGGTTCGGCTTGACAAGGGTGCACATGAGGACTCTTGATTATTTAATTTTAAAAGAATCGAATGGTTAATGATTCATTTAATTTTTTAAAGGGGGCATTTGATTGCACCAAAAAATGATTAATTTTGGTTATTATCGACATGCAGTAGACTTAGTTGATGAGAGTAAAATTTGGTCATTTATGAACAGAATTATCGACGGCTTGAAGAATCAAAATCTTGAAGGAATCGACAAAAAAAGTGGAGTCAGCAATAACCGTCAAGGAAGTAACCGTCAAAGTAGTGGAATAAAGAAATCAAAGGATTAACCATTAACATAGTGGAATAAAACAACCATCAAGATAGTGAAGTCGAAGAAACCTATCAAGGTAGTGAAGACAATGAAACCGTTGATGTAACTGTTTGTAACCTCCGTTGATAACCATCAATTATAGGCGTTGAATAACCACATTATACTCTTCAGAGATCCCCCTCCCCCCACAAATCAAACACTATCTTTCGATTATCTCTACTTTCCTACACTGTACTTTTATCTTTCAGACTAGCATGGACGATTAAATTTTCGTGTGTTTCTTAGCTATATTTCCCAGATCCGCGTTATTGATTAAATTCTGGTGTAACATCTTTGCGTTCTTAAGCTTTGCCATCAATTAAATTCCTGCAGAGTTTGTTTACGTTAGGTCCCATTGTAGAGTCTATATTTTCAAATCTCGTCGTCAATTAAATTCTGGCACAATTTGTTTGTACACTTCTATTAGTTCTATCAGAAGTGAAGTTGTTGATTTCCTTATTTACCTATGATATAAATTGTCCGGAGTCACTACAAAACTCGTCTCCTTCGATTAAAAACTAAAGAACTATTTTCGGTGACGGGTATTTCGTCGCAGGAGAAATTTTGGTGAAACAGTTAGATAATGTTGTATGAATTAACTTCGCAATTCTCCAATATGTTTCTTGGAAAGCATGAGAGGAAAAAGCAACTCGTCAATCTAAATATAGCGTAGGCCCCTGAAAGATGAGGTAAAGTTGCCAAAATTTATCTTTCATCTCCAAATTTACCCTAAAAAAATGTGAAACAACTGGCATTCAGTCTGTGCCATTTCCTGTTATTGACACTTAAATTTTGGCTATCATATTTAATTCTTTATCTCACAAAAATTAGGGATTGGTCTGACCCCTTAACAAAAATATTTGACATAATGCATTTTAGTATCAATAGCATTACCCATTTGCATCAAGCATCTTTCAGGAAGCCTAAGGTGAGCTCAATAAATGACGTGATAAAGGATTGGTGATTGTATAGGGAGAGGCGAGCTTGAAATGAGATATTCACATCTCCACTGATCGTATGCACGTCGGACAATAATTCCACATGTCCGGCTACTTCGTGTCTATTTCGATTCGGATAAGGACTTCGGATTCAAGAGAACATGTGACTTGGTGAGTGTAGGTTCGGCGGTGAAAGTATTTGGTGAAGAAGTGGAGGGGAACATTCAAAAGTAGAGATAAGAGTGGGATGAATTTAAACAAAAGATACGTTTTTTGGTCTCATCTACAAGAAGCATTGATAATGCTGATTTGAGGGCACGAGAATGCTTGCCCCTCTTCTTGGACACCACTTTTCACGCCATGCAGAGAGAGCTGTCAATTGGGTACACTCGCTCTCGCATGATAGAGTTTATCTCTGCGGGTTGTTATGAAAATATTGATGTCTTTCGTTCTTGAATGACCACGTTATCTATTGGCTCTGAATCTTGGTCGTCAATCCGATCCCCGCGTAAGAGATATTAACCAAAACGGGTCAAACTTTTGAGGATAATTTCCAAATGGAAAAATGACATAAACAGTCCCTCAACTTTGACTCAATGTGCAATTTGATCCCTGAACTTTTAATTTATTCAATGTAATCTCTGAACTTTGACCCAATGTTCAATGTGATCCCTGAACTTTCAATTTGTTCAATGTGGTCCCTGAACTTTTGGTACATGTTTAATATAGTTCATGAACTTTATAAAGATGTTCAATGTACTCCTTCCATCAATTCAAGTTCAAGGACTATATTGTACATTTTCATATAGTTTAGGGACTATATTGAACAAATTGAAAGTTTAGGGACCACATTAAACACTGGGTTAAAGTTCAGGGACTACATTAAATAAATTAAAAGTTTAGGGACAAAATTGCACATTGAACCAAAGTTCAGGGACTGTTTGTGTCATTATCCCTTTCCAAATCCATTCGAACTCTAATCAGTCTATCATTGATCCTGATTTTAAGGGATATGTGCACTAGAAGTCCTAAAACTTATCACAAACGTGCAATTGAGTCCTAAAACTTTCAAAAAGTGCAAACAAGTCATAAAACTTGTCACGAAAGTGCACTTGAGTCCTAAAACTTTCAAAAAGTGCAAATAAGTCCTAAAACTTGTCACGAAAGTGCAAATAAGTCCTAAAACTTGTCACAAAAGTGCAAACAAGTCCTAAAACTTTCAAAAAGTACAATCAATGGAAGGACTTGATTGAACCAATTTGACAAGTTTTAGGACTTGTTTGCACTTTCGTGATAAGTTTTAGGACTTGTTTGCACTTTTTTAAAGTTTTAGGACTCGAGTGCACTTTCGTGACAAGTTTTAGGACTTGTTTGCACTTTTTGAAAGTTTTAGGACTCAACTGCACTTTCGTGACAAGTTTTAGGACTTTGAATACACTTATCCCTGATTTTAACTAGACTTATGAAGGCTACAAATACCTCCTTCGCCGATCATCACATGGGGGGATTTGAGAGTTCCACATACGCAATACAGAGAGAGGGTTAAAAAAAAAACAATAGAGAGATTTCCTCTCCTCCTGTAGTTCGTTGCATGTGGCCATCAAGCTCCACGATTGCCACTATGCGTGTGTTACTACCGCTTCCCACGTGGTGACGAGCAGCACGTCACTCTTGGAGCCCCTTCGGCGAAGTCCAATATGATCCGAGCCTCAATGACGAAGCCTTATATTCATGGAGACGAGCCGAACCCATTGACACCAGCGATTTTCCTCCGAGGCGCCTGTTGTTTCCCGACGAGTTCCCGCGACGATCGGCATTGCTTGCTGGCCGCTGCTTTCTGCTCTGCTGAGCCGCTGCCCCTGACGACAGAGTTGCTGCTGTTCATCAACGTCGCCCCCTGAAGCCACTGCCATTCTTCTTCTGCCCATGAGCTGGGAAGTAGCGAATTCCAGACAACTCTGCTGTGGTCCTCCGATCCACACCCTTGGGGCGCCACCGCCAAGCCGAGTCGTGACGATTTTAGTTTCGCAGGAAGTCCAACCCAACTTAGAGTAATTCGGTGGTCAAAGAAATAGGCATCCAACCGAGAGAGGTGAAAGAGAAAACCGTGAGCCAAGGCGGTGGGTTGCATGGTCAAAGTAAAAGAGAGCTTGATCAGTGAATAGAGAATCGCAAGGTGCTGTCCAGCGAGTTGCCGCTTTGTTACCTCACCGCGACGTCGACGAGCCAATCGTGACCCACCGCGAGCTCGATACCAAGCCTTGCCACCGCCAATCCAAGTCATCCGTTGAGATCGAATTTGAAAGCCAATCTACAAATTAGGTAGCGATTCTATCTATATTAATTATTTCATTATCCGAATTAATGGATATCGTTATCTAATTGAGTCATCAAGTGTTGATGCATTTCTCCAAGATTTTCAGGTATTAGGAAGCTTCCCTAATTCGACAACGTGCACATAGTCGACGGTCCGATCTTATGCCCAAGATACGACTCCCGACCGTACGGAAAATCGGCTAATCCGATCCCCTGCCCGGGATACGATTCGCCGGTTTTATTAGTTACCAAATTTGAATAGATTGTGCGGGTTTTCAAATATTTTGATGCGATCTGATTGCTATGGATGATGTCTGATGTTGGTTTGATTGCATAGTAATAGATAGTATTAGGATAATATTTTTCCTAAACTTGAAAATACAAAAAAGATTTAAAGTGGCAGTTTAGGATTAAGTTGGATTTTAAAATTTTCCTTATAGGATAAAGCAATCCTGGATAGGTTTCTAGTTTAAACTCTCTTGATAGATAGAACAGGATAATTCTAGCATCTAGGATATTATCCATAGTTAAGATAAGATTTAAATTTAAATTGGGATTAAGATATATTAACTCCTAGTTTGAATTAAATAATATCTAACTATAGATAATTTATCCTCATCAATTTTAATTTCGAATATTTAATTAATAAATGAAAATACCCAAAATACCCCTTGCATGTCATTTAGTTAATTATATATCTCAAGTTAACTTAATTAGATCGCATGCCATGTTAGAATAGGTCATGTAGACTATATTTAAAATTAGGTTCGCATATCATGCATTGCATATAGCCTAGTTGTAATTAAAAATCAAGAAAACCAAATAAAAGATTTGTTTAGAAATCATGGTTAAGATAGGTTTAGTCTTTATTTCATCAATTTCTATCTAGATGTTTGAATTATTACTTTGATGCCATTAATTTAAATGCTTTGGTTTATTGAGTGTTTTTTTCATGATTGCGCACATGCAAGATCATTTCACATGTTTGTAAATAGGTTTAAAATCAATCCAAGCTGCTTGACAAACATTTTTCCTGAAATAAAAGAGAAAAGTATTGAAAGGGCGTTAGATGTTAGTGTAAACAAGTTCCCGTACCCATAATCTCTGGTTCGTAGGAATAAAGTGAGTTTCTAATTGACCCATAAAAAATAGATTAGTGATGACTCCTAATTGAAATCATTTGCATGTTAAGAATTAGAACTTAAGTTGCGAATTGGTAGGGTCTTGGGAGAGTCCGAGCTAAGTTTAGGTTTAGTAATCTATTAGCTAAACCCCTAGATGGTGTACCCTCGAGTAGGTCGCGACAGCTAATGGATTATTAAGCCTAGACTTAACTCAGGCTCTCATAAACCCATACTAATTTGCAACTTAGGTTCAAGTTATTTAACATGTAAATCAATTTTATTTGGGAGTCGCCACTAATATATTTTTGGTGGGTCGATTAGAAACCCAAGTAAAGTGTCGGGAGAATTACTTTACTCCTACGAACCAGAGATTATGGATTTGGCGACTTGGTTACGCTAGATTACTCTAATGCCCTTTCGGAACTTTTCTCTTTTATAAAAAAAAATGTTTGCAAGTAGCTTGAATTGATTTTAACACCTATTTCCAAACATGTGAGGTGTTCATACATGTGCACAGATGTTAAATAAACACTTAATAAACCAAAGCATTTAAATAAATTACACCAAAACAATAATTCAGACACCCAAATAGAAATTGATGAAATAAAGACTAAACCTATCTTAACCATGGTTTCTAAACAAATATTTATTTGGTTTTCTTGATTTTTAGTAAAACTAGGCTATATGCAATGCATGATATGCGAACCTAATTCTAAATTATAATCTACATGACCTATTCTAACATGATAGGCGATCTAATTAAGTTAGCTTAAGATATGTAATAAACTAAATGACATGCAAGGGATTTTTTTATTATATTTTTTCTTTGGCCCCGTTTGGTTCGGCATCTGGGGAATGCCATTGGGGGAATGCAAATACCTTTGGACTAAAGGACTTTGGGAAAATGCAAGACTGTTTGGTAAAATATAACTGAAAAGTGCTTTGGGGAAATGCTAGACTGTTTGGTAAACATAAATTTAGAAAGCTCTTTGGTGTGACCAAATTAAATTTTTAATTTTAATATTTTTAAAATTGAAAAAAAGAAACAATGACCGTAACTTTGAGTTGGGCTTGACATTTTTCAGTCTTTTTATGTGCCTAATATCTATTTCAAAGATGTTATCTACTTTCTTCTTTCTATATATATTGCATTAAAATGATATCTTTAGTTTACATAGCTAGTGTGAATGTTATGTCGCACTTTTTCTGTAACTCAAAGGGGCTTTGGAAGCAAAGAACATGTCTGCAAATGATTTTCTTGGCATGCGCTACTGGTATCCCTTCACCAAGGAGGTAGTTTAGCAGGTTGTTGCCAATTCTTAAGAGGATGATATCTAACATTCTTGAGAGGTTGTCATTTCACAATAATAAATATGATCACATATGTCCGCAAAAAAGAAGCATGCTATCCTTAATATTACAAACCTCCTCAACGACTTTGTAAGCTCATGGCTATTTCATCACGTAAACGTGTCATGTCGGAAAATGCATTATTATTTGAAGCACTAACCCCCTCACTTGAATCATCATTGTCAACTGAATATCCATAATCGGGATCCAATTCTGCTTGTTCAAAATCCATATCAGTCACGGCATTTCTTCGTATATAATTGTGCAAAGTCATTGTCGCCACGACAATTTGCATTTGCTTTTCATATGGATAACTAGGCATACGAGTTAGAATTCCCCACTTCTGTTTTAATACTCCAAAGGCTCGCTCAATTGTTGAGCGTAGTGAGGAATGGGCACGATTGAATACTTCTCGATAACCAGTAGGCGAAGAACCTTCTCGAAATTCTGGTAAATGATATCTAACTTCTTTATATGGCCCCAAATAACCCATATGATTTGGATATCCAGCATCTACCAAGTAATATTTACCTACACCAATATATTGTAAATCTAATCAACATATGCCACATAGATATATGGATGTAACTAAACCATTAAATAACGAACCTGGAGGAGGATGGGGAAAATGTGTATCAGGTCTTCCAATGGCTTCATAGAAGATACGTGTATCATGAGCTTGTCCCTCCCAACCGGCCTAAACATAGACAAATTCCATATTAAAATTACATATGGCTATCACATTTTGAGTTGTCGTTCCTTTTCGACCAATAAAACGAATTTGATCGTACGTAGGTACCATCGCTGGGATATGTGTACCATCAATAGCTCCAATGCAATCCTTAAAATATGGAAAAAAATCGTCGATCTTTCTTGATTTTCTCGGGAACTTCCCTATATTCTCGATCGGTTGGCTGGATCAAATCTTTTCCCATATCACATACTTTATCTAAAACTAAGCTAAAGTGCCTACTTATGGTTTCCCCGGAGCGCTGAAAGCGCTATATTCTCGATCGGTTGGCTGGATCAAATCTTTTCCCATATCACATACTTTATCTAAAACTAAGCTAAAGTGCCTACTTATGGTTTCCCCGGAGCGCTGAAAGCGCTCTTGTGCTAACCTATTGCCTATACCGTGTCCCAAAATATGAAGAAACATACCAACCATTTTTGCAACATCAGTATTTCTAGACCCTTCAAGACCATAGCATGCTACTAAGTCACGGGTTAAATTATTAAATACAACCTTATGCATTCTAAACATATTATAGCACCTTATAGGATTCGCATCTTCGTCCATCAACTCTTTTAACCATGCATAACCTGTATAAGTTGAGGTCATGCAAAGTTGTCTGCAAAGGTATGTTGCTTGATAAAAAATTGCAACTCCTGTGATTGACACAAGATCCCAATAGTCATTTTCCTCTTGTTCACGATTTTCCCTTGCATGTGAATCATCCATAACTGTTTCAAATAACAAAATATAAAGGTTGTAAGAGAAATAATGAATAAGCTTGATCATCAAACAATGTAATAACCATCATATATATGCAAACTTAATCACATAAAGAGAACACCAACTGGAAACAATTCTTACATTAAAACATTAATAGAAATTGGGTTCACAGGAATGCAAATAAAGATCCATCAACAGAAACAAAGCAACATCACTCTCTTCAAACAGGAATAAAAGTAGCATGACTCCCTTCAAACATGAAAACAATAAGATGCTAACAACCTATCTATGAAGACGTGACTCTTTTCCAAACTCATACTTGAGATACTTGACTTTTTTTGCATCATCCTTTAAGCTCATAAAAACCTGTCTATTGTCTATCTTTTCCTTCAAATGAGAGATTGCAAAATAGTACAACATTTCGTCTTCCACAATCTCAGGTATGGTATCCAATATATCTATGAGGTCCTTGTAAGGACCGACTACATTGGTGGTTGCTTGAGATGTCGCAGTGGCATTGCTCCTACTTTCAACAGCTGCAACTAGCCTGTTAATTTGCGTCCCAAGCTCTTCTCTTGTGCTCAATTTCTTATCTTTTTTTCCTCGAGCTTGCCTTGTTGAAGTTTGAGCGGCTCTTTTCCGGCTTTGAGCTCCAATTGGTTCACCAATGGTTGCATCTACATGACCCTCCAAATTTTCATCAGTAGATCCTGCAACATCATCGATGCCAGGTTGTGTGACCTCAACATCATTATTAATACATAAGCCTTGCCCAGGATTCCACGTGACTCCTCCAGTAGCAACTGTATCTCTAAACATCATGTCTAACTTCTCTCCAAGATCAGGATGTATGCCTTTCATCCTAAAAGCCTTAAACTTTGGATTGACCTGTTATCATAAAGCATTTGTGTAAGTTGTATCCTTGAAGATGATCCAGCACAAAAGTTAAAAACAGAAGTGATGAAAACCTGAATTTTACTCTCCCACCATTCGTCACTCGCATCAATGGTTTTCTTCCTTGAATCCCAACCTAGTCCTGTTTCATTATAAAGCAATGACCTCCATCTTTTCCATTCTTCCTTGAGATTATCCCACTTACTCTTCATTTTATTCTTATCATACTTTTTTCCTGTTAGCTCCTCAAACTTGCTAATTATGACTGCCCATCCATCTCTTTTGTTGCTTGCAGGACGATTGCCTTTTTCAATTTGTTCAATGCACAACTTACAAAAGGTTTCTACATCTTCCGAGCTCCAAAATGCCTTTTCCTTCGATGAACTTGCCATCTACTAGTATAGTAACATGAACAAATTTGGGAAGCAAAAACAAACAAGATTAACCATGAACAAATTCGAATGAAGACATGCATTTCTTAACACACAGATAACCAATCAACTCACATATGTTCATTACATAACCAATTGAACATAATTAGTGAATAACATAACCAATTGAACAAAAAAAAGGCAACATACTGTGTTATTCATACTCAAAGGATTACTCCCGCTATGAATCCAACTGTAATGAATGCAACTGTAAATCACAAAAAAAAAAAACAATCATACTTTTCGACAAATTTACACGTATTGAATTTGCTCTATTATGAGTACAACCCAACATGTTGTGTTATGAGAGTCGAGTCATTATGAACTTTGATAATAAAAACCTGGATCAATTAGCAAAAGAAATAGAAGACAAAATCTGGGTGGTACAACATAACTGCCCTAATCTAGGAAATGCGAGAAACAAGCCACTATACATCCACTAGATATACCCCCAAGTGCATGCTCTAAGTAAGGCCCATGCTCTGTTCAGAGAGCCGAGTCATCATGGAGATTGAAAACAAAAACCTAGATCAATTCACAAAAAGCAAAAAAGAACAGAGGAAAAAATTTGGGTGGCAACAAGTTCGCAATTAGAATAGAGGAATTCTGCAACTTCTTCCAAATAGAACAACAATGGATTACGGAACGGTCAAATCTTACAACCAGATCCTAAAAGAAAAAAAATGAAAGAAAGCTAGAACAATTTTTGGACTTGGGTTGCGTGTTCAGCCAAAGGTTTTAGAGCTAGGAAGACAAAATGATATTAGACCTGATAGGATTGTCAGATAAAAACACGAAATGGCAGAATGTAAGAAGCCTATGTCTATGTTCGTAGTCTTCATCTCATCCCTCGAATCATAATTGGGCATTCTTGAAGGATAAGGCCACCTTGGTGAGTAATCTTGCCCAGCCCCTTTTACCACGAAGGAAGGACCACCATTCGCTAAAAAGCGAGTCGGAGGTGGCTTCTTCGACCTTCGAGAGGAATGTCAAAGGGAAGTTGTTCTTGGTCCACCAAGAACCGACTGATGAAAAGGACTATACAAGCACCAAAATGCCGCAACAAGTTACCTCTTAAGCAAAACAAAGGAACAACAAAATGCAAAAATTTCTGTAAAACATATGGAGCCCAGAGCCCAATTGTTCCCCACTTAAGAACAGAGGAAAAAATTTCCGTAATCCATTGCCTCAAATTACCTCTTACGCACAACAAAACGGAAAACCCTAAAAACATATTTAAGACTATACAAGCACAAAAATCACGAAATGCACAAATTCCATGGTGATTTCACCATGGAAGAAAGGATAAAACCTCAAGGATGGCCACAAAATGCGCAGATCTAATCAATCAAAAGCACATCCACCGGGGAGAGAGAGAGACGAACCTGTAGTTGTGCGAGGGAACGAGCGAAGCGAACCACCGAAGCGAACGAGCGAGCGATCCGTCTGAAGGAGAGCGAAGCAACCAAAGCGAGCGATCCGTCCGAAGGAAAGTGAAGCAACCAAAGCGAGCGAGAGAGGCGAGCAGTTCCGCGCAAGAGTGAGTCAACAATTGAGAGTGACAAAAGGCAAATGGGAGAGCGAAGAAGCAGAATGCTAGAGACTGCTGGGTTTTGTTTTTTAAAATGGGCAAAATTGGACTTTCAACAAAATTTTGAGGGCAAAATAGGCAACTGACAAAAATTCATTAAATGGTGGAAGTTGCATCCCGAAAATGCTGAAAAGCCCAAAGCACCTCCCCACCTGCTTTGGGCTTTCAGCATCCCAAATGCTAGCTTTGGGCTTTCGGTATCTTAAAAGCAATTGCCAAACGGTTCAGCATTTTGGGAAGGGGCTTTCGAGGCCGAAAGCCCCTTCCCAAAGCTGAACCAAACGGGGCCTTTATCAATTAAAAATTCGAAATTAAAAATTAATGAGGATTAATTATCTATAATTGGATATTATTTAACTTAAACTAGGTATTAACCTATCTTAATGACAATTTAAATCAAAATCTTATCTTAACTATGGATAATATCCTAGGATGCAAATTCTAACTAGAATTATCCTATTCTATCTATTAGGAAAATTTAAACAAGAATCATATCCATAATTATTCTATCCTATCAGGAAAAATTTAAAATTTAACTTTATCCTAAACTACCACTTTAAATCTTTTTGGTATTTTTGAATTTAGGAAAAATATTATCCGAATGCTTTCTATAACTATAGATAAACATGCATGGCAATCAAATCAACATCAGACATTATCCGTAGAAATCGCATCAAAATATTTGAATACAAACACAATCTATTCAAATTTGGTAACTGATAAAACCGGCGAATTGTATCCTAGACATGGGATCGGACAGCCGATTTTCCGTGCGATCGCAAGTCGTATCTCGAGCATGAGATCAGACCATCGACCATGCGCACATTGTCGAATTAGAGAAGCTTCCTAATTTAAGGACATCGGAAAATCTTGGAGATATGCATCAACACTTGATGACTCAATTAGATAACTATATCCATTAATTCAGATAATGAAATAATTAACACGAATAGTATCGTTACCTAATTTGTAGATTGGCTTTCAAATTTGATCTCAACGGATGGCTCGGGATTGGCAGTGGTGAATCACGGTGGTGCTCATGGTGACTTGCAGCCACCGGCTGGTGATGTTCGTCGAAGAGGGCGACTCGGTGAACCAGGGGGGGGGGGGGGAGGGTGCTCGGCCGAAGTTGCTAGTCACGGCTAGGCCAAAACAGCAACAATAATGGGTTTGCACAAAGGCGACGGCAACAAATTTGGTGGACCTCACGCCGCAGCAGGTGAGATTTCAAGTGGATGGATGTGTTGCAAAGCAGGGGAAACAAAACATGTGGGTTTCGCCAATATGAACAGCTTCAACCAAGTCCAGAAAATTGGGCAACTCTGTATTGGGTAGCCACGCCTTGACAACTGGTGGATGCGAGGAGCTAGAAAAAACGCCGTTGGAAGCTGGATGGCAAAGAAACTTCTCGGCCATAGCGAGGTGTTCTCTCGTGATGATCCAGTTGGACGGCTCGGTGTATGGCTGGATGACAGTATCGCTCGTGGTGGACTCAGCTGGGATAATTCAGATGGAGCGCGGCCAAGGGCTCAACCACGGGAGGGACTAGAGATGCTGTCGGCTCGGGCAGCAGTAAACAAAGTAAAAGAAACTCTGAATTTTTTTATTTTCCTTGTTCTTCTATTGATGTACAGAATACATTTAAATAGTACATAGTTACATGATAAGGGCAAAATTGATTCCTTAAATCAAGGAAAGTATCCTCAAATTGAGGAAAGAATTTTAAATTCAAATCGAGGAAATTATCCTCAAAGATTTTAAGACGAGATGTTATCATCCCCCTCAAGCTTAGCACGATTGGCTGAAGGTGAAGCTTGCTTTGCAAAAATCCGATGCGATTAGAACTTAGACCTTTTGTGAAAAAATCTGCAATTTGATCTTTGCTGGAACAGTGAGAATCTTACGCCCAACTAGTTCCCTGACATAATGAAAATCGATAGCGACATGTTTCGTTCTTGAATGGAAAACTGGATTGTAGGCGAGAGAGATTGTGGAAACGTTATTACACCAGATGGTGGGTGGCGTAAGGAGTGGGCAATGCAATTCACGTAACAAGGAACATCGCCAAACTAATTCAGCTGCAGTGTGAGCTGGACACTGGTACTCAGCTTCAGATGAAGAACGTGCCACCGTGGCTTGTTTCTTTACACTCTAGGAAATGGGGTTAGAACCGAAGAAAACACAGAACCCGCCAGTAGAGCGTCGATCAATGGGGCAACCTGCCCAGTCAGCATCGCAATAAGCAGTGAGCTAGTGTTGGCCTGGACGAAAGTGAAGATTGTGAGTAATTGTGCCTTTCAAATAACACAAAATTCGTTTGACCGCCACAAGATGATCCTCAGTGGGAGACTTTAGGAGCTGGCAAACTTGATTGACGGCAAAGGAAATGTCAGGACGCGTCAAAGTAACATACCGCGGTGCTCCAACAAGACTCCGATAAAGAGTGGGATCCGATAATGGAGGGCCATCACTGTGGCCAAGTTTTTGAGACACATCATGCGTTAGGATTGGTTTACATCTATCTATATTTGCACGCTTTAGAACATCCATAAATTACTTCAACTGATTAAGTTGTATGCCTTCCAAATTACGTGTCATTTGAACATTAAGAAAATGAGAAAGAGGTCCGAGGTCCTTCATACGGAAATGATGGCCAAGATGTGAGATCAATTGCTGCAACGCTGAAGTATTATTGCCAGTGAGTATGATATCATCAATGTACAAGAGGAGATATACGGTTATATGCCCTTGGTGGAAGATGAATAATGATGGATCGGAGTTGGAGACGGTGAATTCAAAATCATGAAGTTTTGAGTTAAACTTTTCATACTAGGCTCGAGGGGCTTGACGGAGGCCATAAATGGATTTCTTCATGTGACAGACATGATTAGATTTGCTCGGATCCACATAGCCTGGAGGCTGGGACATGAATACTGTTTCCTGCAAATCACCATGTAAAAATGCACATTCGACATCCAATTGTTGAAGTGGCCAATTGTGAGAGACCGCAAGAGATAAAATAATTCGAATGGTGGTAGGTTTCACCACAGGACTGAAGGTCTCAATAGAGTCAACACTTGGTTGTTGATGGAAACCTTTAGCAACAAGGCGAGCCTTGTAGCGGCTAATAGAGCCATATGGATTTCGTTTAACTCAAAACACTCATTTGCATCCCACTACGTTCATAGTAGGATCATAAGGGACCAAATACCATGTTTGTTGTTGTTGAAGAGAGGTAAATTCTTGATCCATGGCATGACTCTATAGAGGTTCCTTAACTGCTTGGGAGTAACATGTTGGTTCGGAGATATGGTTAGCAGTAAGTGCAATCGGAAGTGGTTGAAGGGTATGGGAAAAGGCCTTTCGTTTGGTAATACCAGACTTAGATCTTGTTTGCATTGGGTGAGTGGAAGAAGAAGGGATAGGTTGATTATCAATAGGTGGAGGAAGGGGTTGGCCAGAAGTCTGCATGATAGGTTCGGTAGTTGATGAAGAAGATACCGGGGAGGTGTTGTTGGATGTGAGAACGACCATTGAAGTGGTGGAGGGATCACAATGAACATGCTCGGTTTGAATGACTCCAAAAGAATCGAGACTATGAGGTGGAAGATGTGAAGAATGAGTGGGAGTGATATGGGAGTGAGGAAACTTAGTTTCATCAAAGACCATATGACGAGAAATATATACTTAACCAGATGAGAGATCCATATAACGATGCCCTTTATGACTGGGGCTATAGCCTATAAAACAGCAGGGGGTCGATCGAAGTTCCAATTTGTTAGCCTTGTAAGGTTGGAGCCATGGGAAACAAAGAGAACCAAAGGTTCGTAAGTGTGAATAATCAGGAGGGGTATGAAATAATGCTTGTGTGATGTTGAAGTATGCTCATGCGATTAATCAAATAAATAGCTGTGGTGAAGGCTTCCAACCAAAATTTAGAAGGCATATGAGCATGGGCCATCATAGCTAAGCCAGTTTTGATGATGTGGCGGTGTTTGCGCTCCACAATACCATTTTCTTCTGGAGTGTGGGGGCAAGAATATTCATGTGTAATGTCATATGATTGAAGAAAATTGTTGCAGGTATTACTGGTGAATTCGCCACCACCGTCCGAGCGAAATGTGGTGATGGTGTGACACGAGAGATTTTCAGCTTGCTTTTTAAAACTAACAAAGATGTCATAAAAGTCGGATTTTAATCTCATAGGAAATAACCATGAATATTTAGAAAAATCATCGACAAAGAGAACGTAATATGACTAATTAGAACAAGATAATGTGGGAGTAGGATCCCATACATCACAATGTAATAATTCTAAAGGACGACTAGAGGTAGAATAAGACTTGGAAAAAGGAAGCTTGTGACTCTTTGCCTGCTGACATGAAGAACAAATGCAAGATCCCGATTCAATGGAAATAGAAGCGACTGAGAAAATGGCCCATTGAATGTCATGAGAGGGATGGCCAAGACGAGCATGCCATTGGTCAGTGGTGATGGAGGAACTGTAATGAGCTTTTGGGGCGGTGGATGATGGTGGAGTGCGAAGTGGGTACAAGCCGTTCTCAACTGGCCCTTGATATAGTATCCTCCCCGTGGCCTTGTCCTTAATACAAAAACCACAGGCATCGAAATTAAAGAGACAATTGTTATATTTGGAAAACCGGTAAACAGAGAGTAAATTGTGTGAAGCTGTGAGACAATGAAATATAAATTTGAGGTAAAGAGGTGATGAAGAGAATGAAAGGGTAGTGGAACCAACATGTGCAATGGGCATACCGTGGCCATTACGTATCTCAACAGTGTCATTACCATCATATGCAGTTGAAATTTGGAGATTTTCGAGTTCCGGGGTGAGATGATGAGTGGCTCCGGTGTCAGTGTACCAAGTGTTGGGTGGGGACGAGGCAGTGGCAGCCATTGCTGCAAGTTTTTCCAGTGGATGGCGGCCTTGATAGGTGTAGTCCATTCAGTGATAACAGTTGATGGTAGTATCACCCATACGATTGCAAATATGACATTATGAACGAACACCCAAATTTTGAGATTTTTATTGACCTTGGGGTGATGGTCGTTGTTGCACCGATCCAGAGGAGGTGGAGGAAATGTTCCACGAGATGGTGCATGGCTGCGGCCCTAAGAGAATTGATGAGAGTTGTTGGGCCTGAAAGGTTTGGAAGCCACCAATGCAGTAGAA